ACAAAGCATTTACCAAATTTGACCCAACTACGTGACCGCTGTGGATGAAGTGCTTCTATGTTTTAACTTCCTGCAAAGAAATTACTCCCCTATAATTTTCCCCACATAAATCCCCTTTGATGCAACTCTTTTTACTCCAAACTATTCTCTCCCTCATTTAGGTGTCAGACCACTGCATGTCTAACCCTGTCCTCCTCAGAGGGGAACCCATCCCTCACTCATTTCTCCTCCCTTCTTCCTCCCCCCAGTTTGGCTCTTCAGAAGATCAATATTTCATTTTCCTAGACAAGACTAATTAAAGTTTTCCCAGCCATCGTTACAGCCTGAGAATCTCCTGGTTTCTAGGACACTGCAGCAGTCATCACTCAGGGTGTGCATGGCAGGACTACAGGGACATAGACCAACGGATGTCCTGCTACAGAAGCAGCACTAAGAGAGAAAGCTCTGACTCTTTTCCATTTTTATCGAGTTCCCAAAGCACTCAAATACCAGATATGTTACCAGGCAGCATAGGGAAGCACTGGTTACCCCTACACCAGCTAACTTCCAGCACACCTTCACCCTTCTTCCCTAGACAGAGGCTCTGGCACAGCTGCTTTCTGTAGAGGCAGACCCAACTGATCCTAGTTTGAAAAAGCCTCTGTGGGTGAACTAGCAGGCAGTTAAACTCTGATTTTAAACTCAAAGCCTCCAAATTGACATTGCTTGCTGGGCTTTTTTTAAATTTTTTTATTAATAAAGTGAGATTAGGAAAGCTTACCAGCCTACTCGGGGAGCCATAGTACTTGAGGCTCAGCAACGCACATGCTAGGAGGCATCTGTGGGTGGTGATGCTTCCCTGCCCTCAAGCTAGAGGCAGAAGAAAGACCTTCGGGAGGCTCAGTAAGGAACAGGCAGGCTGATAGCCTAAAGAAAAGATCAAGGAGGGAGTTACAGGAAGAATTAATTCTCCCCACCTCCAGCTATTTCTTTCAGCATGTAAAAGCCAGTCCATTAACTGCTCTTAACTTTTGCCAGAAAGGTGCTTTCCTGCCTAGCCAGCTGAGGAGAGCTGCTTCGGTCATTTTCAACTGATAAGCCATAGTATCCTAGAAATTTCTCTGCTAGCTCCTGCAGTATCCCTCTAGAAGCAATCCAGGAACCCATGCAAACAGGTAGGGTATTTATGTCTAGGGGGGCAATGCCATAGAGAGACAGAGGCAGGGACCAGGCAAGAAAGGATGGAGGCTCTTTTCTGATGGGAAGTAAGGGGGAATAAGAACAGGCTGAAACACTTGTTTCAAAGTGGATTTTATTCCAGGCATTAAACAGATTCTGGCACATGCTTTCGTCAAGAAAAGGGAAAACAAATCTGGGCTCCACATAAATTACATCTGGCAAAGTGCAGCTTACAAGTGAGTGGGGAAAATAAACCTTTTGAAATTGATTTTTGTACAACAGTAGTTTCAGCTCCTCTTAAACAAACCCCCATTGGTTCACAGCACATGAAATTACCTTGGATGATCTGATAGGGTAACAGCTTTCTTAAAAGGTATTCCCAATGCAAATGCTCTGTCTTGACAGTCTAGAGTGCTGTTCAAAGTAAACAGGAAAACAAGGGCGAGCAGCTGCTTGTTCTGACTGTTAAAGAAACAAATGACTGGGCCAAATTTGAGAGCTCAGTCAGTTTGCTTTCAAAAACCTCACCAGAGTCCTGTTCCAAAACATGGCATTGCATGGACCTTGGGGAAAAAAACACATATAACATCATTCCTCCTTTCCTTCAGTGCAAGAGAAATTGAAAGTACGCTAATAATGAGTCTTTGGACAGAACTTTGTTTATTCTAAGAAGTTTAGTTTGCCCACACTTGAAAGCAGCCTTTTGTAATGTACCTTCTTTATAGCAATTGCTAAAATCCATTGGAAACCAACGGCTTCCAGAAGATGATGTGGGGGGAGGACCTGCCTATAGGAAGGTTCTGTGAGCAGTGCTTTAGCTGACAGCAGAGTAAGCAGTGGGGAGATGACCTCAGGAGAACATGTTCAAAACCAGGTAGAGTTAGGGTTCTGGTAGCCCCTAACTCCAGGGACCGTTTAAGTTATTGACATCTAACGTATGGCCACCTTTTCCCCTTTCTCCCCCAAGCTGGGGCACCTGGAGAAGGAGGGTGTCCAATCTTCAGCTGCCCCACTCACAGCCTCAAACGGACGCCAGCTCACACTCTGCCAGGTGATGAGCAGCAGGAAGAGAGGCACAAATCAACACAGCTAGTCCACGTGCCTCTGCTCCGGGAGCGGTCAGTAACCTCCAACACTGGAGCCAAGCACGAAGTCAAGGGCAGTAGCCAGCATGCTGACAAAAGCCCTTTGGACCAGGGCTGGCCCACAGCTTGGAGAATGTACATAAGCAGGGCTCCTGTGGTCTGCAGCAGCTGCGAGAATTGTTTGTAGAGGAGCTGGGTCCTGGTCCCGCTACGGTTATGAAGAAGGAACTGCAAGAAAGCTGCACACACACAGTGGAAGCAAGAAAGAAGGAAGCAGTACCTGGTGGAGGAGCAAACATGCTGTTAGCTGCAACCCTTAAGCTGCTGGAGAGTGAAATGGGGGAAGCTCAGATGTTCCACTTAGGATGCGTTTTGATGAAAATATGTAATCCTTTAGCACTTCATTGTATACAGAGCTCATACACAGTACCTGCACAATGGCCTTTTGTCTGTCTTTGCATCAACTTTTTTCAGCCAGGTACCTGAAAACTTGACTGTTCCTGTCTCCTACGGCTTAATGATGCTGTTCTGGAAGTAGCATCTCCTGCATATTCTTGTTTAAAGAAGCAATTGCTAGTAGGATAGCATCTCTCCCCCTTGACAGGTCTGCCAGCCCTGCCCTCTTCTGTTCCATGGCTATTTTGTTTCCTTCTCTACTCTATCCTGGCCTCAGTGGTTCAGGCCCAAAGCTCCTCTATAT